GCTGCAGCTTGGTTCAACGGAGAGCGAACCACACAAAGATGAAATAATAATGGTTTTGCTTTCAGAATTCTGTTTGCAGCTGAAGAGAAAGTATTATTAAAAAAAAAAAGAAGAAGAAAAATGGCAGCGTGATGGCAGTAGGTCGTGAGGTTGTGTGTTGGGATGTTAGCTGTGCCCTGAGCTCTGTGCCACATCCACTGCTGTGCAGCACACCCAGTCTGTGCGGGGCAGTGCGGGCTGAGGCTGCCTGCATCATGTGTGCTTGTGAAGCATTTGCAGGGCTCACTTGTTGGGCAAATGGCACGAAAATAACCACGCATCTGAAGGTTTTAATTGTGTTATTGTTCAGTTTAGTCTTGATTACGCTATCATAATATGACTGAACTGCTGAAATGGTTGAACTAAATCATGTTAAAGTGCAGTTGTTACAATATGGAGTGCTACTCAAAATTATGTTTTCTGTGTTTTACTCAAATGACCAAATTGCTTTACAGCTTGTTGGCTGTTGAAATACTGAGTTGTCTAATATTGGTGGAAATAATGCATGCTTTCAGGCCTGTAGGGAACACCAAGTGCGTGCTCAAAGTCTTGCTTAAAAATCCCTTCTATAGCCTTCTTAGGAAGTTGAATGCAGATTGTTTGTAATACAAAAAAAAAGCTTAATTATTTGGAAACAAATGAATCATGTTTTATGAAAACAAATTGTTTGCTCAGTAGGTATTGGGGGGCACACTTTATTTTATACCAGCTTTCTTCTTGCGAAACAACTCAAGGAAATTATTGGGAATACTTTTGGTCCTTGATGTAAATCTCATCTGGCTGACATTTTAACTGTTGCTGCTGCTTAATTGGTTCTGAAGCATCAGCACCTCTCCTTCATGGACACATAAATAATTCAGGGACAAACTTCTTCAGGCAGCAAACTGTTCTTCAGTCAGCTGAGAGCATCCTCCAAAGTTCTCTAATTCTCTGAATTAAGGAAGCAAGGTCTCTGCTTTTTATAGATGATTAACTGAATTTCAATGAAAAATCAATGCACCTCTGAGCAGTCGTTCTGCATTTCCTCAATCTTTGTCCTCTCCATGGAGCCATATCCAAACTTTGTTGTCCAGAAAATGTTATCACTCTGCTGAGTTACTTTGTAAAGAAAAGAGGGAAAGAGAGAGAAACAAATGGAACAAAAAGGGTATGTGTGTATGGGGAACCCTTCAGACCAGCCCCCCTTACCCTCCACCCAAGTTGTTATACAGGCACACTCATGTTAGTGTGTTTACACAAGAGTATAAAACCCAGGTTGTGGAACAGATCTCAGGGTTCGTTGTATTTTGTGTGCTTGTCTGTGCTATGTGTGACAAGGGCTGCTGGCTGGGTGCTGCTGGTGTTTCCTTGGCCTGCTGGTGGCAGGTGGCTCAGCACCAACTGCTTGCTATGTCAGCCTCTGCTGGATCCCAGCATTTCACCAGCAGATCTGAGTTAACTGCACCTATTTTGTGTTATGGGGATAAGTACTTTTTGACATTTAAAACAGATTTCCAGTGAAGGCACATACTGGTTACGTAGCTCATGCTTGGCACTTGCTTCTAACAGTCAGATTTTTAAATAGAAACTGTTGCACGTTGAGCTAGCAAGGTACTAGTGGTCCTGGGCTCCTTTTGTTGTTCCCCTATTCTTTAATTCACAGATGTATCGTTAGCGAAATGCCAAAGGCTGCTGCAGTAAGGAGCTGCCTTGTTTCTACAAAGAAAGCATATCTTGAAACTTTTCTGCTCCCAGAGCCTGCCTGTACAACAGGAGCGAGGTGCACGTCTGCCATGGAATCAGCCGTGTGCCTGCATTAATTTCAGGAACAGGGAAATCTTCCGGCGTCCTTCTGTAATCGAAATATACATCTGAAGGAAATGTGCTGCAATATTATTGCTGTTTTGGCAATCTGTTATGAATTTTATTGCAGAGAAATAACTGGGTCAACCTCTGGCTGACCTGTCTCCTGGAGTTCCTTCAGTTAGCTTGAGGCTAGAGCTCCACCTTGTGATCTTTCAGCAGGATACATTTTCTTTTTATAGTCAATAATTTAATTATGATTTCACAAAGTTGAATGACTCCTGGAAGTTTCCGTAGTCCGAGAGGTTTCACCATCTGCTTAGGAAAATTAAAGTTGAGATCCTATGAACATGCAAATATGCAAAATATATATATATATCTGAAGAACTGCATTTTGAGATGCACTGAAGGTGGATTTAACTTACTAAAAGAACGTGCTTTTCATTGCATGTCGATAGGCTATGGAGGATTTCCAAGTTTGGGATGGGATCTGCATGAACGTCGCTTTCCTGCTTTCAGCCTGCTCTAGGAAGAGCTTGGTATTTCAGAAGATCTGATGGGATGTTTCTGTGGGCAGTTCTCATTTCTCACCAGTTTCCCAGCCCAGGGCTGTGCGTGGCCCATCAGAGCCATGGAGCAGGGTGCAGGGGAACAGCTGGCCCAGTGTCAAGGAGTGTTTGGTGAAACTGAGATGCTGTGAACTTCAGGGTCAGCACGTGGCTCTTCGTAGCATGTGGCCTTGTGGCATTTCTTGTGTGGAACATCATGGCAGCTGGATTTTGGGTTCAAAGCCGCTGGAAGTATTCATGGGAAAAATGTGATTAGAGTAACACAGCAGATGGGCTCCTTTCAGGCAGCTTCCTTTGGGCGCTGCTGGTTGGGGTCACTGGGCTGGCCTGGCTGCCTGCCACAGCTCCTGGACTCTCCTGAGGTTCTTACAGCTGTACTGGGCACTGATGGGGCCTGGGCTTCCTGCTGGAGCTCCCTTACGGTCTTACCTTGTGTATTCTTGCAGGGCACCTAAGTACAGCTGGTCCTAATGGACAACCTAAGTACAGTTGTCCATTAAGACCAGCACCATGTTGCGCTCATGAAGGCCAAACTTTCCCTTCTTCCTTCAAGAAAAATTCTCTGAATGTTAACTCCTAGTAGTTAAACTCTTCAGCTCCTAGGGGCATGTGGTGTTTCTTACCTGTTCTTGTGCCCTGGCAGTGCCATTTTTCCTTTCTTGTTCTGTTGTGTGTCCTGAGATGAGCAATTGGATATAAACCACAGGCAGGAGGTTTCATGGTCTGGTTTGACTTTGTTGACTTAGAAAATGGAGTTTGGTCATTTGCCCATACTCTCACGTACTTTTGTTACTTTTTTTCTTTAAAGTATTTTTTCTTTTTTTCTTTAAAGTATTTTTTCTTTTTTTCTTTAAAGTATTTTCTATAAGCAGACTTACAGACATGATACAGTCGGAATAATTATAATCCTGAGCGTGGAGCATTGCATCATGCATGGAAGGAGCAGATGACTGTGCTGACACCAGTGCCTGCCCTGCTGGTGGCCGCATGCTGCGTTCCCCCCTGCAGAACCAGCCTGTCTGGGTGATTTGGGATAGAATTCTTGAGATCTGTTCTCCCCGTGTTAGTGGGGAGCTACAGCAGATGGTACTGACTTAGCAAGCCCACAGGAGATGGGCGGCAGCCATTCCCAGGCAGGTTGATATCCTGGCTGGCATACAAACCAGGCACCGGGACAGAAGCAGAGATGTGCTTTGTGCTGTAGGCAGGGGCCGTGGCAGCGGTGCTACTGCCCTGCAGGAGCTGTGCTTTGAAAACTTTGATCTGTGTTCTGGCTGCACTTGGCTGGAGTGTTTGTAGGCTGTGTGCGGGTTCTCCTGCCTACCCCGAACTTCCCTTCACAGCTGTTTGTTTCCACTCTGCTTTTTGTCTCCACGTATCCATATGAAATGTGAAGAAGCCGAATGAGATAAGTTTAGGGTTGGTGGTTTCTCTCAGCTCTCCAAATTCTGGAAGCTGCAGTGGCCCCTAGCATTCAGACACAGCATTTGCAGGAATAAATGTGCAGCCCTGATCTGTGCGTTGGGCTGAAATGTAGGCTTGGAATCGCTGCTGCCAGACAGCAGGCAGCATGTACTTAGCATGCTGAAATGACATCCTTCCCACACATACCTCATCAGCCCAGCACGCTGCACGGTCAGCAGTTTCCAGCTCTGAAGGTTCCTCTCCTTGCTGTTGTGACTTCAAACACCTGAATCTCGGGCTTTCTTCGTTGATCTGTATGGAATTATCTTGAGGCAGGCAGTTGGCATAGGAGGTTTTGGTATGCATGGGGCAGTTTCACATTTGAAGCATTCAGTGACTTCTTTTCCCCCTAAGCATGGGAAAGTGAGTTAAATAAAATTAAAGAGGAACTGATAATATTATTAAAAAAAAACTTGGAAAAACAAGGATTTTGCTGTCTTAAATTTTCATGGTAAGGTGTTACACTGTTTCTGAAGTGTTTCTTTTTAATTCATAGGAAATATTTTCCTCCTTGTTGTTGCTTGAGACATGTCAATTGCTTTACATGTTCAAGCTGTTAGAAGCCCGGATTGCAGGCTCTTAAGGGAAGGCATTAGTAGTGAAGCAACTTGTTGGGTTGTAAGGACTTTATGAGAGCCTGTCTTTGCACTAAGTGTTGGCCATGTTTACACCTTGGAGGAGTTGGTGTACGTAATGTCCTTAGGTGTGCACACACTGTGCTTTAAGCTTAGCATCAGTTCTGCTTTTCGGTTTGGTTAGCCATGGTGTCAGAGTGCTGATAGTAGAGCCTGGGCTCTGCAGAGAGCAGCACTGAAGTTCAAACTTCAGTCTAGGACAGATTTAGGAAAAAAGTTACTTGCAAAGTGTGGATGGAAACCTTTTGAGATGGCTTATACTGTTGGGAAAAATTTTTTTTACTTAGTGCTGTTGTGTTTCTTTTTACTGCAATGCTCTTAATGTATGTGGAGGTGCTTTTCAGGAAGATCGTGGGAAGGGTCGAAAACACAGCACCTTAGAGAGGAAAAACCTTGGCTGGAAACAGTGGTGTGATCGAATGTTTTCTGTTTCTAACTTTTGTACCTCTTCATATGTGGGGGAAAAAAAAAGTGCTGTATTTAATTTAATTTTTCTTTTTTTTAATTACAGAAGTTGACTGCTACAAAGGAAGAAAGGAAAGTAAGCTTGTGCTTCAGCCTGGTTTTTGAATATCTTTCTAATACAGTGGTGTTCCAGAAGATGATAAAGAAATGATAGCAGCTCCAGAAATACCAACTGATTTTACTCTCCTCCAGTAAGTGCTTCAAGGATTTTTAGTTTCATTTAGATGATTTGAACTTTCTGGTGTGTGCTTCTTAGTGGTAATAGCTGTGGCTGGTTGTTTCCCTTGGAAACAAAATAGGGGAATAGGGTTCTGGATCTTTTTTCTTATTGAGAAGTTGATGAAAATAAAGCATTGTTAGAGTTCTTTCTTGAGCATTTAGTGGTGAATAAAACAGATAGTTTAGAAGTTCTTATTTTTTGTTAATTGATTTAAAATCAATTTTTAATCTTTGCTAATAGGAAACAATCATGACCAACTTTTTTTATCTCATGCCTTTGAGAATGGAGGTATTGAGTAAGAAACACTTTGAGGGGTAACGAAAATTCAAAGTTCCCTCTTTATAGAGAGTTGAAACCTCAGGGTACTTGTATTTACCCTTGGCAATCTGCCCCAGTTGTTCACTTACAACCCCAAATGCCAAATGCATTTGATGGGACCTCTAAGCTTCCTACAGTTTTTAAGAATAGGTATTTAAATTTACAGTATTTTAAACCAGGAAGAAATAACTAATTATTTTATTTCTGTATTCAAAATGTAAAAGTGGATGAGAAGAATCCAGTTCCCTCCTATTAGTTAGTTGTTAAGAAGTTAGCATGAATCCTTTCCAACAATCTGTTGACATGTATTAAACTAATTCTAAAAAAATCCAAAAAGACAGTCTTGTGCTGGTTGTGTGTGTTCTTTTAATGAGAAAGCAAATTGTCTGTAATGTTTTTGTTTTTTTAGTATGCGGGTACAGTTCATTGTTTAATGAAACATTTGGAATTTGTATTCTGCTCTGTCCTGTTAAAGAACCCATGAGAAGCATTTGAAGACTAAAGATTTCTCATCATTTTTTGCAAGATTCAGGTTTTTTTTTTCCAATCTCTTACAGAATACATAGTTGGCAGAACCAGAAAATAAACGTGAGGGGACAGAAACCTCTTTTCAGGCAGTTCCACAACAGTGGGGAGCCATGGTTTTCCAGGGTGTTTTAGAATGTTAGAAGTAAATATACTGGAATGGGTCTTTCTGCCCCCAGTCCGGGTCATCTTTATGATGACATTGTTCAATTGCATCAGGAAAGGTGTACTAGAAATTTGTGATAGCAACTAGAATTCATACTGCTGTATGTGTTAAAATGCTCTAATGGCATCATTTGAGTTGTTTCCTACAGGAAATGTAGAAATAGAGAATCTAAGCTATTAGTTTATAATAATTCAGATGATTTATTTATTTATTCATCTATTTCTGGTTTGGATGCGGTCAATAAAGAATTTGCATTCTGATGCAGCTTCTATGAATGATGTAGGAAATCAAACAACTTTGAAAGTTATCATATTGAACATATCTTTATCTTATATAACCTTAAAGAGAACTCCAGATGATCTCTGGGGGAGAAATGTCACCTAAGACCTTTTTTCCCTTGCACATTTCAACAGAGCTACTCAGTGTTTCTCATAGTGAGGTGGCAGGAAATATATGGAGACACTTTGGTTGTGAAGGATGGTGGTGCATTCGTTGTTGTGTTTTCTTTCTCTTAAGTATTCATGACAGTTTTTATAGTGCTGTTTGATGGCAGAGATACTGTAATTTTTGCACATGCCAAAAGCCAAGTTTCCAACTTGCTGCTATTTATGCTGACCTTTACCTGCGAAAACCATACAGTGAGGCTAAAAGGGAATGATTGTGTTTGGCTGAGGCAGGGTGAGCTGTGAGCATGGGGATTTGCTCCGATTTGTCCTTTGAAAGTAGACTTAAACAGGAGGAAAAGACGGTTTCCCTGCTGGAAGTGGCTTACTGAACCGAGGGCATAATGTGACTCCATGTAGTTTATTTAAGAATGTTTCTGGTAAGATGTGTAAATGGTTTGTCTTTTATCCTTGCAGGGAGTCTGAAACACACTTCTCTTCCGATACAGACTTTGAGGATATCGAAGGAAAAAACCAAAAACAAGGCAAAGGAAAAGTACGTTCATTTTACTGAGACACTGAAAAACTTGTAGGGTTATAGAAGTCATGGTTCAGCACTTATTGTGAAGCTGAGACAGAATTGAATTTTTCTGAAGAGAGAGTTCATGTTTGTGTTTTCATTGGAATATTGATTATTGGCGTGATGTTTCCTTCCTGCTGTGAGGGTGCTAGCAATGGGGGAAAAATCCAGTTCTTAAACTTAGTGCTAATACAGTCTTTTCTGGTTGCTGTCATTAATTCTGGTTCTGTTTTCATTAGAAAAGTAAACAAAAAACAATAATTCAATTAAAAACTCATTAATCTTGTTTAAACACAAGAAAAACATTTTGTGTCTTATTGTCACTAATAGCGTTTTTAATTGCCAAAAGATTTTAAAGAGGAGGAGGAAGTGGAACCTGTAGAATCCAGTTAGTCTTTGTATCAGTCAGCATCAGCTGTTATTCTCAACTTCAGATTTTAAATCTGGCTTTTGATAACGTAAGGCCTGTGCATAGTTGCATCGTGTAAGTGATAGGTTAGTGTTGTTCATTTTTTTGTTTTGTTTTTATTACACTACATGAAAACTGATTAAGAAACGTATGTGTGTGATTGCAGACCTGTAAAAAAGGTAAAAAAGGACCAGCAGAAAAGGGGAAAAGTGGAAACGGAGGAGGGAAACCTGGTGGTCCAAATCGGATGAATGGACATCACCAACAGAATGGTGTGGAAAACATGATGCTGTTTGAAGTAGTTAAAATGGGCAAGAGTGCTATGCAGGTAAGGCTTGGGATATTCCTAAGACTTGGATGAGTATACAGGTTACATATAACAATGGTTTTCCATACATATGATCTACTAAAATTAAGCTTGAAGTATTTTTTATAGCTTTTAGTTATAGGTTAAGATAAGGAAATGTTTTTATGTTGTTAAAATTAGAATGTGGAAGAACTGATTTTTCATTTCTAAATAACAGATGTGAATAATTGAGTATATAGTAGAACAAAATTCAAGATATAAATCAGCAGAGTTTGCTTGACTCTGTACATCTTCGGTGAAGAGAGAGTTAAAGTGTGAGGCTGCCAGCCACAGAGAGTTCCTGCTGACTCACTCATGTGACTCCTCAGCAGCCTGGCAGAAAGGCTATCTTTGGGATTGAAAATGTAGAGTTTACAGCTTCTGTGGTACGTATGCAGGAAGCTGGGTCTGTGTGCAGTCCTCTGGGACTTGCACGCTTCTGCTTCAGGCCCTAAGCTTTAGGGCATGATATCAAGTGATTCTCTCATGCTTGTGTTAATAAATAAATGGTATGCTATATCTTTTATATGTTTCTGCAGTAAACTATAAACATGAAAGATTTAAAGATGATTGTGCATGAATTCTTCTTGCACATAACCGTTATTGCATATTTCCTGCTACTTTGCTTCCCTTGAAGGTTTTGTAGTAGAACAGTTCTGTTTCCATTTTACTAGCCATTATGCTTTGGTTTTAGTTAACACAAAGCAATTAATGCCCATGCAGCATAGGGCAGTGCTGTTCATTCTGTTACAGCTCATGTGCATGGAACGCAGTTCATCATAGGGGTTAACATTTATGAGGAGCACAGGGAGTTGCAGTTGTTGGAACTGAACACCACAGTAGTATCTTTAGAGAAGTTAAATGAACAAACAAAAAACTCTGCTTCTGTAAAAATTTTTGTTATATTTTGCTATTTTTGCTCTCTTTTCAGAAAAAATGAGGATACTGTAAGGTATTCCTGTGCTTTTTGTGCAGGTGTCACTTTTGTACTGTATATGTTTATGGATTACATTATTATTTTTTGTTTGTTTTTCAACAAAGTGATGCTCTATGAGTAAAGGTCATTCAAGCATTTTGTTCTACATCAGTCAAAAAAATGCAGAGTTCCAACTATTCTTAAAAGGACCAAGAATCCCTTACAGAAAGCACTTACAGAATACTAACTGTTCTGTTTATAAAAACTAAACGTTGCCTTTATATTTGTTTATTTTCAGTCTGTAGTGGATGACTGGATAGAGTCATACAAACATGACAGGGATATAGCACTTCTTGATCTCATCAACTTTTTTATTCAGTGTTCGGGTTGCAAAGGTAAGATACTGGAATGTTACTTTATATGCTCCTTATGTGCTGTTACAGCATGATTTTCTGTTTGTAGGCTATAGTATTTCTGAGGTTGGGAGCTGGGGGAGGAAAAGGTTTACAAGTATTACAGAAGTACTTTAAAATGTAGATTAAATCTTTTGTGTTCACAATGGGGAGAATGGAATCCTGGTACTTAATACTTCCCACATCTTCCTCAATTGCTGGTATTATTTCAGAATACCATCTGTGTTTTAGTGTTGATAAACTTAACTTGCTTGGACTTGTAACTAGTTTGTATTTAGTTATTTCATATCAGTGAGTGTTCAGAGATCATTCAGTAGCCTTTTAGAAGTGTTTGATGTGCAGGATGTTATGGACAGCTTCATGGTAGCCTGTCTACAGTAGATTGTATTTCCATTTTTCTTATGTTAGGGAGCTTCTGGTTTTCTTTCCTCTAATCCAAATCCTCCATTCGTTTCCCTCTTACCTCCTTTAGAAGATGAGAAGGTAACTCTGCAGAGTCACTGCACTTGTGTGACTGGATGTAGTTTGCTCTGCTCAAGTGTCTCCTGATAAACTTATAACATGTATAAATCTTCGGAGAGCTTACAGCATTTCTCAGAGCTGTTAGTTGTACTTTCCAGAGCAGTGACCTTTTGATTATTGTTACCAGCCAAAATGACAGAATCTGTTCCTACTTTCTGAGATGATACTTGTCGTGACTTTTGCAGTACAGTTGCCAATAAACTTTAGGAGATCTGTTTCTTTTAATGTCGCCCTTTGCACTTTAATAATTTGTGGCTAAGAGAAATAGGAATTTCATGAAATAACTGAATTTATTATAGTGCAGAAGTTAATAGATAGCAATGGAACTGTTCAAAATTGTCTGAAACCATTTAGAATCTTGAATCCAAAAAGATCAGATTATTATTTTCTGCCAGCTGATTAAGAGGGCTGGTACACATTACCTTGGCTTTTGAATATGAATGAATGAGTAAACTTTAGTGTGCATACACTGTATGTAGTGGCAAGGAAACTGCTGGTATTCCTCTCTTCTTACAGATGCTACATTGAAGACTGTTTAACTTATTTTAAAAAACAAACCAACCAACAACAAAACCCAGCAATCAACTTAAAACCAACATCACTAAAAAAATATTCATAATCTGTAGATTGGGTGAAAATTGATCATAGCAGGAGATACATCATCTGCCTTCTACCTCTTTCAGTTTAAGTGTTAATAGTCTAATATCTGAATTGCAGGAGTTGTTACAGCTGAGATGTTCCGACATATGCAGAATTCTGAAATAATCCGAAAAATGACAGAAGAATTTGATGAGGTAATTTAATAAAAGTGCTGAGAATGTGTATTCTTTATTTTTTTAACCTGTCCTAATCTTACTGGATCGTGTTGCTGCAGGGTTCTTTCAAGTTTAAGAACAACCATAAAAATGTCAAAACCTCAGGAAGGAAAATCTTATTTCTTAGTCCTACAAGTTCAGTGAAGGCTCTGTGTGTATATGAGCTGGCTTAGTACTGCTTTAAGAAATCAATATCTGCTTCTCAGTTTTAGAACAGTGGGAACTCCGATTGCTGTGGGGCATTATGACATTCTTCCTCTCATCTCCTCCACACCTCCCTGTGTATGTGAAGCCCTTAAAGGCTTTTTTAAGGAACTTGTGAAATATTTGCTGAATTTATTTCTGTTAATCTGTAAGTGGTGTATATTTTAATTTGGTTATGCTTCCTGTTAAACACTTCAATACTTTGTGCTTTTTGGGAATTGTAGCCTTTTTGCTTATTTTGCAGTATTTACTTCCAGAATGTTGTCTCTGCATATAACAGACCTGAGCTGTAAATTATGGTAGATGTCTGTTAGTGGAATGAGTTTATTTGGAGATCTTGGCTCTTAAGTTTTACTCATCTCTTCTTAATCTTCATTTAAAAACAACTTCTAAGACTTTTGAAAGAATTTCCTCTTTGTATATCTGTGTTTGTTTGTTTGTTTTTTAATAGGACAGTGGTGATTATCCTCTAACTATGGCTGGTCCCCAGTGGAAGAAGTTTAAATCCAGTTTTTGTGAGTTCATTGGAGTACTCGTCCGACAATGTCAATATAGCATCATATATGATGAATATATGATGGATACTGTCATTTCACTGCTCACGGGGCTGTCAGACTCACAAGTCAGAGCATTTCGGCACACTAGCACGCTGGCAGGTCAGTGAACTTTCTTTATCTGTGTACTGCTTCCATGTTATGTCTTGTGTTGCACAGGAAGAAATTGTTGAATGTTTTGATATTCAGCGTTCAACTCATGTTCCTTCGTATGATACACGTCTCTAATGCAGCTAGTTCTGGTACAGCTTTCAGCACATTACTGCAAATTACTGAATTATTTAAATAGTTCCTTACCAGCTGCCTTGTACTTCATTTTTGTTAGCTTTAGGTCTATTAGGAAAAGCAAATACCAGCTGTTCAAAATGCAGTTGAACTTGTACGTGCTCTGAGTTAAGTCAAACCAGAGTCATGTTATAAATGGAATGCAATTTTTACTCCAAATTTAAATTCCTTGTAATTGACAATAGCATTTCCATTTGTTACATTAGCAGTAATTATAAAGAATTCATCATCAGTGATACGGCCACCAAATTTCTCTGTTTACTTGATTTTTACATTTGTCCTTGATGTGTTTTGAGTATGACGTACTTATTTAAAGCTTTCCATGATAAGCAGCCTGCACAGGATAAGAAAGAAGGGCCTTGGATGTCATTGTGCAGCAGTCCAACCACGTGAGGATTTTTTGGTGCAATTTTAAGGTGATTGGACTATTAATAGTACTGTGCTAGAAGTAGTTCCTGTTAGTTTGCTGGAGCTGGCTGACTTATCTCTGACTTCAGCTACAGGTGGCTGGTCAGATGCTCCATTTCACTGACTGTCTGTGCATTAGAACACTGCAAGTTAGGCTGCTGCTTTGAGATTCCCAATAGCCAAGGCCTTTATTTTAGAGGGAGGAACAAAACTTTTAATTGCAGGAGAATAAGCTGATTGTGCTGTACCATTGATTTAACTGTTGTACCATATGGCAAATAGGAATTTTGATTCTTCAGAAACAAGGTTTTACTACTTTCTAAAACTTGAGTTGTGCATGACTAAAAGTTACTGAAGTTACTCTGTTGCATGTCAGTTTCTGTCTCACAGTGATTTTTGCATTTGTTCACGTCAGTGGTCAGTTCTGCTGATTCTGTGTAGTGATTTCTGCAGTTCACATGCAATGTGTCACAGCCTGTACTGTTGATGATTGGGTTTTAAGTGGGATAGAGATAGCCAACAAAGTCTTTTTTCATATTTCATAGAATCATAGAATTGCTCAGTTTAGCCTTCAAGATCAAGTTCTATCTCAACCAAACCATATTATGCTAATAACAACCCACAGCTAAATCATAGAGTCATAGAATTACTCAGGTTGGAAAAGACCATCAAGGTCATCAAGTCCAACCACAACCTGACCATACTATCCTAATTCTAACAACCCTCTGCTATATGGTATCCCTGAGCACCACATCCAAAGAGTTGTTAAACACATTCAGGAATGGCGACTCAGCCACCTCCCTGGGCAGCCCATTCCAGTGTTTAACAACCCTTTTTTCCTGATATCCAACCTAAACTTACCCTTGTGCAACTTGAGGCCGTTTCCCCTCATCCTGTCACCTGTCATCAGTGAGAAGAGACCAACCCCGCTCACTGCAATCACCTTTCAGATACTGAAAGAGAGCAGTAAGGTCTCCCCTCAGCCTCCTCTTCCCCAGACTGAACAGCCCCAGTTCCTTCAGTTGCTCCTCATAGGCCATATTCTCCAAGCCCTTCACCAGCCTTGCTGCCCTTCTTTGGACCTGCTCCAGCACCTCCGTGTCCTCTCTGTACTGAGGTGCCCAAAACTGAACACAGCACTTGAGGTCAGGCCTCACCAGTGCCGAGCACAGGGGCAGGATGACTTCCCTGCTCCTGCTCACCACAGCATTGCTGATCCAAGCCAGGATGCCATTGGCCTTCTTGGCCACCTGGGCACAGTGCTGGCTCACATTCAGCCGACTGCCCATCAGCACACCAAGGTCCCTTTCCATCAGGCAGCTTTCCAGCCACTCCTCCCCAAGCCTGTAGGGTTGCCTGGGGTTGTTGTGACCAAAATACAGAGCCCGACACTTGGCCCTATTGAAACTCGTACAGTTTGCCTCAGCCCATCAATCTAGTCTATCGAGGTTCTTCTGTAGTTTTACTATCCTCTGGCAGATCTCCCAGTCTAGTGTCATCCATGAACTTACTGAGGGTGCGCTCAACTCTGTTGTCAAGATCATTAACGAAGATGTTAAATAGAAGCAGCCCCAGTACCGAGCCCTGGGGGGCACAGCTCGTGACTGGTCGCCAACTGGATTTAACTCCATTGACCACAGCTCTTTGGGCCCGGCCATCCAGCCAGCCAGTGTTTCACCCAGCAGAGCATGCAGCCATCCAAACCGTGGGCAGCCAGCTTCTCCATGAGGGTGTTGTAGAGGACAATGTCAAAGGCTTTACTGAAGTCCAGTAGACCACACAACAGCCTTACCTTCATCCACTAAATGGGTCACCTTGTCATAGAATGAAGTCAGGTTTGTCAAGCAGGATCTACCATTCATGAACCCATGCTGACTGGGCCTGATCCTCTGATTGACCTTCAGTTGGTCTGTGATGGCTCCTGAGATTATCCATTCCATAACCTTCCCTGACACTGAGGTGAGACTGATAGGTGTGTAACTATCAGGATCATCTTTTCAGCCCTTTTTGAAGATGGGTGTCACATTTGCCAATCTCCAGTCCACTGGGACATCCCCAATTAGCCAGGACTATTGATGGATGATAGAGAGTGGCTTGGCAGCCACATCCACCAACTCCCTTAGCATTCTAGGGTGCAGTCCATCTGGCCCTGTGGACTTGTGCTGTTTGCAGTGATTCTGACTTCTAGGATTAGCTCAGATTGCTCCTTTTCATCTTGATGTCCTTGTCGCAGTGTATGAGGATGTTTAGGAATGTGGGCATGTCTTTGTATCAGTATGTTAGCTTTCTGTGAGACATGCTCCAGTAACATTCTGTCTGTGTTCTGCCTTTGTAAGGCCGTTTCAGCCTTAGAGTTCAAAAGGCGATAGGAAAAAACGAATTTACTGATGGCTATTCCTTAAATGTGGAGGTGGCCAAAATGGTCTGAATTATTTTTAAAAGGAATGATTCAGATAAAAACACACCAAAAAAACCACCAAAAAACAAACTTTTTACAGTGGTTCAACTCTCTTTCCTCTAATTGCCTACATCCTTTTGGTAATTACACACGTAAATGAAGAGATAAACAAAGTTGTCTTGTTGAAATTATACTATGAGAAAAGAGTGGTGCAGTATGGTGTGATTAGTTGTCTGAAACATTTCCTTTTGAAAGAAAAGAGCTGTGTGAGACTGAATGATGGGGTAACACAAGTCTATTAATTGATTCTAATAGCGGAATCCTTTTAATGTTTCTTGGACAACGTTTGTAAATCCTGCATTTTGCCCATGTTTTGGGGATACATCCTGTATATCAATTCCATAATAATGCCATTAGTGTTAAAAAAAAATTGATGCAAAGAAAGGAACAAAATATTATTTTATCTATTGTGTTGGTAAGTAATGGTGCTTGACAATTTACAGTAAAGGATTGGTGCTGTGTAAAACAGTGCTCGGGTCCTGAAGTTTGCTTGTCAAGAAACAAGCTTATAAGTGAATACTTTGTAAATGCAGAAACTGTTGACAGGAGGAGGTATCAGGGTGTCCATCTGTCATCCATCATAGGTCAGGTGCCTTATAAACAGTCTTTCCTTCTGCTTTTTTGTAGCTATGAAGCTGATGACTGCTTTAGTGAATGTGGCATTAAATCTTAGTATTAACATGGACAACACACAACGGCAGTATGAAGCAGAACGAAATAAAATCATTGGGAAGCGTGCTAATGACAGGCTGGAACTCTTACTACAGAAAAGAAAGGAGGTTAGTGCAATTTTCTTTTGCTGGAGTGCTTTGTGACTGCTGGAGGATGAATGCTGCTAAGTCATTATTTCTGCCCTGGGACTTGTGTTGGTTTTTTGGTCTGTTTGTTTCTGTAAAGGTAGTTGTTATTCTCTCTGTTTCATTCTTTAATTTGTTCATGCTTAATATTTGAAAAACTTAATTACTTTGAAAGATGCTTCTTCCATTCTGTTCTTCTGTAGAAAGAGGTACAATTCAGATGGTGCCAAATTAGGAAAGTTAGCAAGAGAGAATGCAATTGGTAATAGGCAAGATTTGTTACGTTTCTTGATGAGTTTCCTGAAATATGTAACATTACCATGCATGGGCTGTTTTTTGGCTTCTAGAGAAAAACCTGACAATCTTAGTATGAAATACTGCTTTTATAATGTCATTATCAGTCTTGGTAGAAATTGCATTACAGGGCTTCTGACTGGGTCCTTTCTTCTACAGCAAACACCAAACAAGTTGAAATGCAGCCTACTTCTCTTTTCTTTCTTTCTGTACGTAAGAGATGTGCTGATTCTTTGCTGACAGCGCTGCCCTGCTGAAAGCTCTAGCTCTTCCAGGTTTTAGTTTTTAATTTCTAGGGAATGGGCTTTTTTTTTTTTTTTTAGAATTAACTTTCTGATGATCAAAGGGAAAGCATCTCTTCTTTGCTCTTCAGCTTGTTGTGCTGTTACTTGTGTTTTTATTGCCATGAAACAGTTTAGGTAAACCAACAGCTTTGTTTGCTGTCAGTTCTCCCAAATGCCTGTCTGAGGCTGACTTCTTGAATACCCAAGAAGCACCATTAAGTGTAGTGTGCTAGATGTGTGTGCCAAACCAGTGCACTTATATGTAATACATGATACATGGATGATGGCAGTGATGTGAAATTAGACTTTTTGGGAATATCAGTTTTTCTAGCATATATTGGCTGTTAGAAAAAGGTGGAAAGGAATCCTAGCTTTAGTTGGGAGTTTCTGGTTTTTTTTGCACAAAAATGAAAATAAGCTTCCAAGCAACATTGATGTTCAATTTTTGTTTGTTGCTTCATTCGTAACTCGGCCGTATCTGACAAATGCATCATGTCCTTGGATTCTTTTTGTGTGTCTTTCATTTAAATATGTGTTTTCTTCTCTCTCCAACTCAGAAGACAGATGTCATTAGATTTAGGCTCACAGCATGTTAGATATTTTGGTTAGTTAGTCTTTTTCTTCTGCTGCTGCTTGCTTAGTTCTTTATTCTTCCTTCTTTGCTTCCAATTTAAAAATCTTGTAATGGTGTGGAAAATACTGGTTCTTGTAGTTAAGTGTAAAATTCTGTAGGAAAGGTCCTTTATCTTCTGTAACACCTACCCATCCACTCCAGTGTTCTCTCTGGGTAATGTCACATCGTTGTTCATTTAGTTCTCTTTGCTGGTGGTGTTTGTTGCCTTTTTATATGTTTGTTTTAATCTGCCCTACTGGAATGTCTGCTTCCCCAGTCTTCAACTTCTCTGATGAACATTGACTCATTCTGTCCCACCTTTGTAGTTCAAACTGCAAAAATAAATTCTTGTCTTCCAACAATATTTAATTATTTTTGCATCTTTTAGCTGACTCTCTTATACTTCTAAAGCAAATACAACTTTTGTTTTAAAGCACTGTACGCATCACTTTTTTTCCAGTTTTTGCTCGATTGCAGTGAGACTGAATTTGTCTCTTACATTATTTTTCAGCTCTGTATTCTTACATTGTTTGTGCTTTTTTTCCTGCTGCTCCATATTCTTGATATAATTCTTCTGCACTACTAATACTAGTACTTTATTTGGATTTGTATTTCAGGAAAGAACTTAATAGCCGTACTTGTAAATGATAACTTAGTTTGGTTTGTGTAGATGCAACACTGCCTGACAAACTGTAAAAGTGATGCTCAGTTTCATATGCTCTGTTCATTTTTTCAGCTTCAGGAAAATCAGGATGAAATAGAGAACATGATGAATGCAATATTTAAAGGTGTTTTTGTGCATAGATACCGGTAAGTTGTTTCTTAAATATTTTTTAGCTTCATTAATCCAGATTATAAATTGGTGATAAGTTAATTCTAATTATTTATCTTCTTGCTCCTATTGCCTTTCTTGTGTCCACAGTGATGCAATTGCTGAAATAAGAGCTATCTGTATTGAAGAAATTGGAATATGGATGAAGATGTACAGTGACGCCTTTCTCAATGACAGCTACTTAAAATATGTAGGGTGGACTATGCATGATAAGGTGAGCTGCCCTAAGGATAAGGAACAAAATCATCAGCCATATGATCCTGCCCAAACTGGGTTCTGATCTCAGCTGTCCTAATCAGTCACTGCTAGCCACTTGAGAACACTGGTGTTTGAGATACATATAAAATACAAGTAAGGTTTGAATGGTTTTAGAGGGTATGTAGAGATCTGTAAGGAAATGGCCTTTGCCCTTTGTCTAGTTACTTATTTTTTTTTGCTGATGCAGACTTTTCTTTTGTAGTATTATTTAAATTGTATGCATATCATATGGAATAATCCAGCCAAATAGCCAAGCTGTTTTCTCTGTTTGGCCAAATTAATGATCTATTTTAACATCTTCATATAATTTTAAAAAGCATGGGAAAATAAGTCCTCTTTGGTGCTGGTGAGTGCCTCAAGCTGTTACTTGCAAGATGGAGATAATTCTCCAGTTGGAGCCGTCAAAAATCATAGCTTATGAATGATCCTTGATTCATTGTAGAGTCAGCAGATTGCTGCAGATACTGTATTGGAGATTCTCTTCAAGCTACTGAACTTGAAGTGAAGTAAATGTGGGATTTTCCCCCATGCTGTTTGTGAGTTTGGCATGGAAACAATGGTAACTCCTGGCAGTGGAGTGATAAGAAACTGTGTGAAGTCAGTTATCCTAGACCTTTGCAAAGTGCATCTGTATGTGTACATTTGGGGAGGAATACCTGTCCCTCTATCTACTTGGTAGCTCTGATCTCAAAAGAGATGGTTGTTGGTAGCTCTGATCTCAAAAGAGATGGTGGTTAATGCTGTAGATGTTTCCTGTTGTAATTAAGTGAAAGGAAGCATGTGGAATTTTACTTCTAAAATGTTTTAAGCATTTAAAATTCATCTTTAGAGAATGAAACAGGTATGTCTAGACTTAAAGATACCAACACAATGAGACATTTTTTTTCTTCGCTTATTATAAAAAAGGACATTGTTATGCCATTAACATGGTTATCAATAATATATCTTTCCAACATTCAGTCTTAGAATGAATTTGGACAGCTAAAGAAACTTGTCTTGTATTATCTGAAGATCACATCATATACGTGACTTTTAATCCATAAATTCTTACAATTTTATTTTAGCAAGGGGAAGTAAGACTGAAATGCCTAACTGCTCTGCAAGGGCTTTACTATAATAAAGAGCTTAATTCCAAATTGGAACTCTTCACCAGTCGATTCAAGGTTAGTGTGACTTCATATTTTTAAGAACATCCAAAAATTGTGGATTTTTTTAGCTGTATTTCCTTTCTTTCGTTTCTCAAAATATCTGCTTTTGTGTTCTTAGGATAGAATTGTGTCTATGACTCTTGACAAAGAATATGATGTTGCAGTCCAAGCAATAAAATTACTCACTCTTGTTTTACAGTAAGTATGTCTCCTCACCTGACCTATAACAAATATTAAGTTAAGAATGCGTAAGGGCTGGAAATGTAGAACTGAGCCTTGTGAGTTAGAAGCTATTGTGGAAGACTTAAACTGAAGAAATATTGTCTCCTGAACAATAGTTGAACTCTGAGTATAACAACCTACCAAATACTCTTACTGTTTTGGTAACTTTTGTGTAGGAAGACACTAAAACTAAGTTACCCTGCTTTTATTCTTAGAATGCTAGGTTGACCTAGCATTTGCCTTCAAACCTTCGAAGGCAAAGGTTTAGATTCTTTTTTATTTCTATCTCCCCTTGCTGGACTTCATACTTTTTTGAGACAGTCTTTTTTTCTTTCCTTCCTCCCATCCTCACCCCTAGGAGTAGTGAAGAAGTTCTGACTGCAGAAGACTGTGAAAATGTCTACCATCTGGTTTATTCAGCTCATCGGCCAGTAGCAGTTGCCGCAGGGGAATTTCTTTATAAAAAGTAAGAGGGGAAATTATATTTACTTGTTCTTCTGGATTTTAGTGTGCACATTAATACTAGATTTATGATTAAATTTGATTAAGAAAAAGTGAGTGATAAACACCCAAATTAAATATTTAAGAAAACAAGACTTTTTCATCTAGTACTTTTCAGGTCTTCACATAGTATTTCTTGGCTACTTTCAGTAACAGGTTCAGTAAATATATTTTGCTAAAAGGCAACATGAGACCTCAAGCATCTGCAATTATCACTGATGTCTGTAAGGTACTTTTTTACAATTCCATGTTCCGCTGGAAGCTGTCAGTGAAATACCAGCTCAGCAATGTTCAAATGACATTTATACCAAATCACTTGCTTTCAAAATAGAACATAGAGCTTCACAGTAAGAGAAGATGTGCCCACTTGTAAAAACAATATCTAGATGTGACTTGACCATGGCAAAGGGAATGACAAAGAAGTTTATCTTGAAATAATTCTTTTTTCAGGCTTTTCAGCCGCAGAGATCCTGAAGATGATGGAATACTTAAAAGGAGGGGAAGACAAAGTCCAAATGCTAATCTTGTGAAGACATTGGTGTTTTTCTTTTTGGAAAGTGAAGTAAGTTTAATTGCATGGGTGTTTGTTTTTGTTTTGTTATGTTTGGTTGGTTTTTATTTTGCTTTTTTAATCCCTCCATCTGCCCCTGTTGGTTATTAGTTGTTAATCTGTCCTAATTTTCCTCTATTGCTTGGGTATTCTGGGGGACAGAAGACTCTTTGGGTTCTGCTTACTTGACGGATTTGCTAAGTGTTTAGTTATGAGATAGGCTGCGAGCTCTCCTTTGACAAAATACTCTTCCCCATCATTCTCCATTATAACATCCAGCTGAAAAGAGATTGTGATTAAGGAGTTTTTAAAAGGAGGAAAAAAACTTTCAGAAACTTTCAGAAATGATCAAGTATACTGAGCACCTGACTCTAAAAAGATGCTGAGGACTTCCTTTTGATGAAAGAATTTAGGATGTTTGCTATTTCTCAGGATCACTCTGTAGGGTCAAGTCTTGCAGTTCTGAAAACTGACCACACAGTCTTGTTTCAGAAGCTACAGACTGATGGTTTTGCGGTATACTGATGAGGATTGAACTCAGTAAAGGTCAAACAGGAAAAGAAAAGCCAGCCAGACAAGCAAGCAAAACCTGTCAGCTGACTAAAGAACAAACAAATACAAAAAGTCCTACCAGATTCTTACAGATCACAGAATCACAGAAACACCAAGGTTGAAAAAGACCTACAAGACCTGCAGCACTTGATTCTTTGTAGTAACTAATCTGGATTCATCCCTTAAAGTAATTCGGGAAAACAGGCTTCTGTTAAACCAGAGAACTCACAAAGTTCTCTGGTTTTGTTTGGTTTTGGTTTGGTTCTGGTACAGTCAAAAGCCAGCAAGGCAAAAATTCTTCTATTATAGCAACTTGTGTAATGAACTTTATTGCTGATAAAGAAAAATATTTTTGTTCTCATTTTAGTTGCATGAACATGCTGCTTATCTAGTGGACAGCATGTGGGACTGTGCAACAGATCTCTTGAAAGACTGGGAATGTATGAATAGTCTTCTGCTGGAGGAACCTCTCAACGGAGAAGAGCGTAAGAGCTTTTAGTAGAACTTTCTGTATACTGCTACGTGGTTTCTGATTGATGTGATTTATAAAGAAATAAGATGTTTACATCTGGGTCGCCATACATATTCTGTTCTTGAATGAGTGTAATAAGTCACCAATTATGAAATTTGAGGAGTAGAAAAATGAGGGAATAGACATGCATTGTCGAGTTCCCCTGTTGTTCCACAGGGTCAGGCTGTACTGGTAGCATTTGAGTAAACAAGTTGCTTGTGAAACTAGTTCTTTTATTGAATATTAAAGCCACTATATGGGAAAACACTGTCGTTTCTTTAATGACAGTAAAAACAACCATAAAAATAAAGCCCACCTGAGACAGTTCTCTAATTTGTATGTACTATTAAATGGACCTCTGAATAACAAAGAGCAGTTAAAATGGTTATGAAACTTGATATTCAGTTGATATCTCTCAATTTCAAATATTTTCCTGTGCTGTTGTGTAATGTAGTTACGTTCTCTATTCTCCTGCCCCCAGCTAGAATTGAGCTATTGACCTAAATGCCTTATATATTTTTAACATCTATTTCTTGAAATTTCAGCTTTAACAGATAGACAGGAGAGTGCACTGATTGAAATAATGCTGTGTACAATTCGACAAGCAGCTGAATGTCATCCTCCTGTGGGAAGAGGAACGGGGAAAAGGGTAGGAGCCAAAATCCTACCTATCTAGAAATGTGCAAGTGGCTGTGTGAGGAGGACTGTGTGGGAAGAAGGAAAAGGTTTTAGGCTGTTGCTACTGAGGGGACTGAATTCAGAAATTGAGTTTGTCACTTCAGCCTCCAGTGTCTGACAGCCATGGTTCTTTCTTTTTTTTGTTTTTCATGACTGTAGCACATGTTTAATGTTGTTTGGACTACTGTATTTGTTTTCATTGTTAAAGATACAGAATTGATTTTAAAGGAAGTTTTGGTTGGAAAGAGACCAAATTCAGTATTTGGAAAAACTACAAAGCTAGAGCAAAATAAGAGAGAGGGAGTATGTTTTACAACCTCTTTGAAGGGAACATAGTACAACCAATTGGTTTTTCTCTGATCGTATGAGGTTACTGTATCTGATTGCCATTTCATTAATGGCAATGAGCTGTTATTATTATTTTCTAACAATACCAATATTTTAGGTGCTGACAGCGAAGGAAAAGAAAACCCAGTTGGATGACAGAACGAAAATTACAGAACTTTTTGCAGTGGCTCTTCCACAGTTGTTAGCAAAGGTAAGTTTAATTCCATCTCTGGCTGATGGACTGTTGTTAAAATGATAAACAGAAGTGGCTTCTGTAATTAACTGTATGGCTTACACAACTCCTCATTTTTTCTTATTAGTTTTTACTAATTTCCTATTGGCCTGTGGTTAATTTTGTGGTATTATGTCCCAAGATTTTTTCATTAAAACTTCCTTTTTCCTCATCAATCTTACAGTATTCTGTAGATGCTGAAAAAGTCACCAACTTGCTGCAGCTGCCACAGTACTTTGATTTGGAAATTTATACAACAGGGCGACTAGAAAAGGTAAGGTAATGTTCAAGAACAGTTCATGCAAGAAGGGTGAAAAAGCCACAATCAAAAGAGAGAATTTTGGCTTTCTTACTTGAAATTCAGTCACTATTGTAGGTGCAACTTTTTTTATTAAGTGTGACTTGCTTTATTGAAACCCTCATTGAGGATAAGACCTGAACTTAAGCTGCTCTTGTCTCTGTTTTCTCCTTCTCAGATGCACTGTGTTGCTGCATTGTTGAGAAGCAAGTAGCTGGAAGTCACTGGGGTCAAAAAAGGAATAAAATATTTAGTTGACAGCGTAGCCTAAAGGTGATAGAGCAACAGTAAGCAACTCAGGGTGAGGAGAGGTATATGAGAACAAGTGAAGTTGGTTTCAGTGCTTATTGCCTGAGTGTTATGCAACTAAATCTTAATTTATACAGCTTCTAAGACCATGTATACATTTTGGTGTGGGTGGGAGATAAGTGCTCTGTGTTGTTTAGTTGTCATTGCAAATTGAAGTGTTAGATAAACGCATACTGACAACAGCAAATTTTTAATTATTTCCTAAAAAGATGTAAAATCTTTAGGCTTTGACAGGCTTCCACTTCATTTCAAGTTGTGAATTTACCTCAGAGTTTCACCAGGTTTCTGGTGAACAATTTTAATCTATGCCGTAGTTCTGAGAGGAGGGAAATAAATAGAAATAAAATGAACTTACTTTTAAGTTTTCCATACGCATTATGTGTTGTCACAGTGCCCATGTGTCTGTGTACTTATGTTTCTTTTCCTTGTTATTCTTGTAGCATTTGGATGCCTTACTGCGACAAATCCGGGACATTGTGGAGAAGCACACAGACATCGACGTTTTGGAAGCCTGTTCAAAAACGTACCATGCTCTCTGTAATGAAGAGTTCACAATCTTTAACAGGGTTGATATTGCAAGAAGTCAGTTAATAGATGAGCTGGCAGACAAGTTTAATCGACTTCTTGAAGACTTCCTACAAGAGGTATTTTAATGTACAACATCAACTTTTCCTGCTCTCATAAATGCATCCAGTATGTTTATTTGCCTTCCTATGCAGGTCAGTGAGTTGAGGATATGAACTGCTGTTCCTTTATGTCAGGACAGTGATTCTTGAATCTGTATCTCTTGGGAATTGGAGATATATTTCAGATAAAGTGTGAAACTCTCAGGCTTTGAAGTTCGTAGTTTTGAGATACACAGCTTTGTTGTTGTACTGGGATTCTCTTCAGATGTACTGGTGCCACCAGCCTTGCCTCTGATTGCACACTGCTGTCGATAAAAGCTCAGAATCTCTGGAAAACACTTCCCCTGCCATCCTTGAATTACAAGCAGATGCATTTATTAGCTTCAGAATATTATTTTGTTCCTACAGTGTGCTAATTAGAAGAGAGAATTTTCTGCTATGTTATTTAATGTGACCCTGTGGGTCTCTGACATTCAACTAAAACTTGTTTCTCCTCCTCTTTATCTGTGATAAGGAGCATGGGAAGCTTCTTTGCTAACTTTTGGCCACACCTCTCAGCAAAAGTATGTCTGCATCTGAGCTTTGCTCCTGTCCCTCCTGCTCATTGGCCAGAACTGGGACTCCACCCCACAGTCACAGGGTGCACGTGGCCTCAGCAGGGAATGCTCCTGGTAATGCAGTTATGTCCCCACTTTGAGGGATAGAAAGAACAGGGGGTAAAGCAAGGAAATGAAATGCCAAACAGGAAAACGGCAAGTACTCTGATAGGACTGGTGAAACCCACAGTGCTCTGATAATGTGTGGCTGCAGAACAGTAGCGTGCAGGGGACTTGTGTAATCTCTAGTATGCTGATGAGGGCTTTCCATGACTTCAGTTAGTTTATTCTATGTGCTTCGATGGATGCCTTCATGAACTTTTTCTTTTGGCTGCTTTTTTCTCTTCAAGTGCAAGCTTGTCAGAACTTCTGGGGAGATTAGAACAAAACACTTCTCATATCCCTCTCTCTTAAAGACTTTCTGAGACTTTGTGATTAAAGTAAGATTGAGGTACTGACCCGTGGCCCAACTAGTCCAGTATCTATTGTCTGACAGTGGCCTCTGCTGGATTCTTTGGAGAAAATGGAAGCACCTACATTATGCGTTGTGTTCAAGTAGCCTAAGTTTCTTTTCTCCTTCTCTCTTGTACCCCTCCATGCCCTCCCCCTGACCCGAGCATATTTTTCCTTATGCTGCTGACTGATTTCTAAATGTGAAGGCTGATTGCTCTTCCTGCAGTTTGGGGCATGCCATGCATTACCTTCTCTCTCAAACTCTTCAAATCTTCTGAAAACAAATACACGGAATTGATAAATAATTTAGATGCAGTTCTTTTTACTGTCTTCCCCCCATCCCTCTTTTATTATTATTTTTTATATTTTTTAATTTTTCTCTTTGAAGTTCCCTGGTTTGCTTAGTGTATTTTGTTTAGGATTTCTTATGATATGTTTTTGAAACAGGGGGAAGAACCTGACGAAGATGATGCTTATCAGGTCTTATCAACATTGAAGAGGATCACTGCTTTCCACAAGTAGGTAGAACTCTGCAAATACCTGTCAGGGTCCATGTTACGTAACTTTGGTGGTTGTTGTAGCTTTCATTATAAAATTTGATAGCTCTAAGTTTTATGCAACCTGTGTTTGTTCTAGTCTGAAAGTTGGAGTGTCATGTAGAACACATCACATCTCTTGAATATATTAAGAAATAAAAAAACCCGAAATCTTCTTTTTTGTTTTGGGCTGCATGTTGTGTGTGTATCTATGTACATATGAAAAGTGGATATTAAAAAAATTCAAACTTTTAGCAATTATTAACATAAATCACAGAAGTGATGTTTGTTTAACATTTCTGCTTCCTTTCTAACACTTCCAGTGCCCATGACCTGTCAAGATGGGATTTGTTTGGCTGCAACTACAAGTTATTGAAAACTGGCATTGAAAATGGAGACATGCCAGAACAGGTTTGTAACTAAAATTTGCTCTTTAGGAACAGCAGTAAATAGCTTTTGTTGCTGCTTTTTTTTTTTTTTTTTTTTTTTTTTTTAAGCTGGCCTTTTTCATCTAATATATTGTTTTCTTTGGATTTCAGATTGTTATTCATGCACTGCAGTGCACTCATTATGTAATCCTTTGGCAGCTAGCAAAAATTACTGAAAGCAGTTCCACAAAGGTATGCCCTTTTCCACATGTATTAGTAAACAAGCATTTTTACTTACCTGCATGTCATCTGCTGGGAGCTGTGATGAAATGGGTTAAAAATCAGAGGTGTTTAATTCAGAAAGAGTTCTTCAGAATTCATCATTTCAGCAATGGAATGCTTGACATTGAAGTCATGCTATTTCTTTACATTATTATGTTTTTATTATTGATGCATGCTGTGTTTAAGTTGATAGAGTTTTAAGTAGTTCTAGTAAAGAAATGGAATGCCTGTTAGTCTGGCACAGTAGCAGTGCTAAGGAGGAGTAGGAAACCACCACTAACACAGTAGCCTTACTACTCTGAGTAGTTTGAATTTGTTTGCAAACTGAAATATTGATGACAAATCTGTGAGAAACAAAACTTGTGAGATATCAAGAGTTTACACGCTGCCACACTGCTCTGACTGCTCAGTATGCTGCAGTCATGCTTTGTTGCTTTTTACCAGTCCTTTAAATATGTTAAATGAAGACATTAAAAAATTAAGCTACATTTGAAATTATTTCCTGAAATAGTGAGAGGGTCTTTTCAAGTTCTATTTGTAGTAATCTTGGAGGACAAAGCTCTGGCCAGTGCCTTATTTCCAATTTCACTTCCTAAAATTTTGGAGGACGGATTGTGGTTTCTTGTGTCCACTAGACAGCACAGCTTGCACAGAGTGATGAGGTGGTTTGCTTTGTGAAGTGCCTAGTGAAAGGAAGGTGGTTTTTTGGAAAGCCGACTATTTTCTAACAGATTTGATGAGTTCCAAAGCATTCTGATGATCTTTTAAATTGTTCTAGAGGTGCATAGATAGATGATTTTAATAAAAGATTGTGCTCTGAATGCCCATGAGCATACTTTCTTTGTGATAGCTTTCCACACCTCCATAGGAAGGGTGAATGTTGTGCTCTTACATCTGAAATTTCTGCACTTTCTGTTCTTGGAGTTACTGATAATGCATCCCTTTTCAGAGCTGGAATTAGAAAATCCTTGAGATGTGTTTTTGTAGGTTATTTTTTTTCTAAATACTTTGCTATTGTTACAGTTAATTTAAGAAAGACATGTTGTGGATATCTGTTGTAGTTTACTAGTGAGAAAAGGAACTACTCATGAATAATTTACAATCAGTAAATCGTATTTTTAAATTAATAATTCATTGTTACAATACCTTTGTCTTTTTAATGCTGATGATGTATATATTTTTGCTTTTCTTGATTTTTGAATGTGATAATGTGAGCATTGAGTAGAGGACAGGAGTGGAGCAGCACACTTTGTAACTTGTGCTGACGTTTTTTATTTTTTAGCAATAGAACATTTGTGTGAGATCATGGCATCTTTTCTTTATGTTTTCAGTCACATTAGGATTTCATTAATCCAGTGAGTAATTGTGGCTTTACTGATTCAGTAATTTGAGTCAGTTAAATAAAAAATTGGTCAACATACCAATGTTAACATGTACAAAACAGGGAATGTCAGATACAAAGTGCATAGCTGCGCTGTTGAGAACTCCTTAAGTGAGGGAAGGATTTGGAGGCTTTGTTAGCTTGTTCTTTAAGAGAAGCAACAGTCTGAGTTTTTTGTAAGAAGGATTAAGATTTTACCACAAACCTGGAGACAGAAGCTGAACTAAATTTTGGGGAGTTCTGTTGGAAATGAAGTTTCACTTGGCTGTTGTGCAGTAAAATGAAATTTGTGATACTGTTCAGCAGGAATGAAAAGAATTTACTTGAAAAAGTAGACTTTATTAAGACTATTTTCTGCTTCTGTATGATAAAATCTGGTAAATTAAAGCTTTTATAACTGTAGTTCAGAAGTAAAGCCTTTTTTATTATATTTAACTACTTGACTGCTGCCAGACATACCAGGTACAAGCAAAAGTTCTGTGACTTCTGTTCAGCATCAATGAAACACAACTGCAAAGAAGCTGAAATGCAGACCCAGATGTGACTAAACATACTGTGCCTGAAGATTTTAGTTCTAACAAAAACAAGCTGCTAACTGCATGCTCTGTGTGAACAGGGTGACTAAGTATGGGGATTACTTTCATAATACGGGCTGCTTAAAGTAAAAGCTACGTAGGCAATTTGATTTTTATTAAAATTTCAAAGAATATTTTTGTATAAAGGAAAGAATATTTTCCTGTTTGTAGTTCTTTTAACATTGGTATAGCAATATGAATGGTAAACGTTGAGAGAAAAGATTATATGTAGTGAAAGTGTTCTGAAAACATAGTAAAAGAGTCTGTCTTAATAAAAAGAAAAGTAAGCAGCTGCTGCTTTTCTTTCTCCTGCTGAGATGAAATAACTTGTACCATCGCATTACCTGTTTTCTTGAAGTGAGAGACCTGTTCTGTTTTAGTTTGCATGACAGGTTTTTACATTTCTCAGGGGTATTCCTTTTTTGTCTGCCCCAATGCTGCTTCCTAATGTAACTTCCCCAGTTCTGCCTGAGCTAGAATCTGTGTGTATGAATAAGTAACTGAAGAAAGAACTCCAAATACGCTGCTCATATGTAAAGATATTTGCTATTTGTGTCAGTTTGATACTTTACTTGCTCAAGATCTACTTCTAGAGAAGTAGTAAAGCTACTTCTTAAAATTATTACTTACTTTCTTATAGAAGGGAAGAAAGCCCTAGCCCTCATCTGACCCTGGTGTGTCTGTTGTAGTCACAGCTACCTAATAGCCATCCTTTGGGGTGAATACTCAGATCATTTAAAAAGAAAATGCACTTTGCTCTGAAGTTTTTGTTGCTGTTTTTTTTTGTTGTTTTTTTTGTTTTTTTTTAAATAAAGAGCTTTGTGAATTTCATCCCAAATTCCATTTCTGCCTTTAGTACATAGAGGATGACAGAATTGAGGAAATTGCTGCTTGCTACTTTTGTTCCTGAGTTTAAGTAATGCAGGATTTTCATTGACAACATGTGAGGTCTGTGGTGGATTGCACTATGGATGTGCATACACTACATGTGAATATGCAGTCGAAAAAGCAAAACTGTTACATTAAATCCTTTTCTTTAAAGGAGGATCTTCTACGTCTGAAGAAGCAGATGAGAGTGTTCTGTCAAATCTGTCAACACTACCTGACCAATGTAAACACTGCTGTTAAGGAACAGGTGAGTGAGAACATCAAGCTTTTCTAATATGTTACCTTAAAGCCATGTGAAAATACGAGCAAGAGAACCTTTTCAAACTTGATTCTTTCTAGTAACACTAGCTAGCAGAAACTTTATTTGAAGTATGCTTGTTGTTTTTTTTTTAATTACTGCTTTTACTTTATTTAAACAATGATAGGCAGATGCACTGTATAAACTTTCCAGTTTGTGATTCAGGTGGGAGAATTCCATCTCAAGTCTTGGTTGTCATGACACACATCTGTACTGGAGCAGCTTGTGGATTCATAGACTCAGAGTTGGAAGGGATAGGAACAGCTATATAAAAGACAGAAGTTATCTTTTTCTTCTGTCTTTGAATGCTAATATTCCCACATTTCAGTGATGGTGTGTATGTGCTCAAGTACTCAAGACCCATGAAGAAAACAGCTTTCCTCCTCTCACTCTAAACATGTGGGGACGTACGTGGGCAACTTCTGTTGTTACTGCATAGTGTGTTCCTCAGTTCTTCGTAGCCTCAGGATTTTGTCTGTCTGGATCAGGAGAAAAAGGACAAGTAGTTAACATGCATGTGTTTATGGATGCACGTGTGCACTGTAACCTGAGGGATTTCACTGTTGAGAGGCAGCATTTGTTTTTCTTGTTCTTCTGCTGGTGCACTTACACAGTGGTCAGTTGTTAACAGTATTAGTGAAGAGAGGATTGGATGCCGTTCTGTCAAGTGTTCAGAAGCTTCAGCAATTATGTAGCACTCATAAAAGATGTGATTGGAACTTTCTAAAGAATTGAGCCATTGAGTAATGTTGCAGATTTTGCTTGAGTTCCAGTGAATTGCCTTTTTGTTTTATCAAGTCAGTCCCTCATACAGTTGTCTTTCATTGGGAAGAGTTTTTAGCTGAAATTGTGTCTGAGGTATCTACAGACTTAAAAGTATGTAGGTGTTTAGTCCATGCGAGTAGTGCCTGTTATCAGGTAGGAAAGTCCATGCTTTCTGAAGAAAAACAGAGACATGAAGATGGGGGATTGGTTTTTATTTTTCTTGTATTTTGAATGGAATTGAGATATTGAGAAAGTATTTGCCTTGAATTCTTAGGAAAATTGAGTCAAAGAATGGGTTCGTCTGCAGGGACTGGGGGTTTTTTGTTCTGTGTTCAAATAGTTTTCTGGCCAGAATGTTCATAGGAGTTTCAGGTTCCACTAAAGCACATGGATTTCTTATAGCAGGATTATTTCTAAGTGAATGCCATGAACAGAATTTGAATGCTAAAACTTAAAATCAAGCCATCACAGGATGAGGAAGAACTGAGCTTTCTTCCGGATATAGTTGTGATTTAAACAAATAGAAGAAAGCCAGGAGCTTTTTTTGCCACAAAAGGTAATAAAAGCCTGGTTGAGCTTGAAGTTGAAAATCTGGTCTGCTTTGTCACAGAGTGCAGCTTTGCAACATTTGCTGTAACAAGAATGTTTTCTTTCTGGAACTGAACAGGCGTGTTCAAGGTCTGAATTATCTAGTATCAAAATCACAAGGTGTAGAGCGTGAAAGTGCGAGTAACAAAAATTACTGAATCTCTCAGTAGGTCTCCTTAAAAGGCTGTGTAACTAAGGTGAATGCCCTCGACGTTAGAATTGCCTCAGTTGTGTACCTTGTGGAGGTGTTTTCCCCTTCTAATGCTATGAAAGGGGGCTTCAAGAGGAATGTATTTACTTCCATGACTGGGAAAGTGATGGTATTTTCTTTGAGGAGTTTGAGAACAGATCTGTTAATTAAAGTGGAAGAGATTAGATTGATAGGTACATCATGAAGCAGTGTATTGTCCTGAACGGTGTCAGTCTAGGTATGGGTGTGTTCAGACTTCTTGGGCATGTAGTACAGATGTTCACATCCTGTATCAGATGGACAAGTTTGTCAGCAAAATGAAAGAGGTTGGTTCCTGTTTTGGAAGCAAGATGAACTTTAGGATCTGAAAGGGTTGAATGCCCTGAGTTGTGGTAGATGTTTTACCAATGTAATTAATATGTATTTATTTATCTATTTAATTTTAAAAAGCAACAACTGGACTATTCTATGGTTGGTGCCCCAAAGTTCTCAAGTGACCTCATGTAGCATTCTTCTAGCAGAAAGTTTTCATGCTCCTCGCATTTCATTCTTAAAATACTTTGATATTTAGCTGTCTTCATCCATGCAGCATCGTTATTTAGATACCCAACCTTCATACAGCTACCTCATGTAAGGAGCTCTTCATGTTTTCAGTTCCAGTTGGCCTCTTCAGTTGATTAGGACTTAAAAGGCCTGTGTGCACCATTGGGATCAGTGAAAATGCATTATTCTCTGTTTAAATAAATTGAAACTAAAATCCACTTTCCAAACAAGTATTTACTAAGGTTTCTTTTGACAGGCTTTCACAATTCTGTGTGATGTTTTGATGATCTTCAGCCATCAGATTATGACAGGAGGACGTGACATGCTGGAACCACTTGTTTACACTCCTGATTCTTCACTGCAATCTGAGCTGCTCAGTTTTATTTTAGATCATGTCTTCATTGATCAGGATGATGATAATAATAGTGCAGGTTGGTACAAAACTTACGTTTCCTTCATGTGATTTGCCTTCTAATTAACTAACTAATATATATTTTTTGCCAATGCTAATTTTTTTTTTTTTTTTCTGGCTGTGCTAATTGTGCATGAGCATGGAGAAAGGTTTGGCTTCCAAACGTCAACAGTCTGTTAAAGCATTTTATGTTTTGGGGATGTGTAAGATAATAACAATAAAAGTTTTGTTTCATAGGCACCAATATTACATGTCTCAAGGAGAGAGACTTGTCAATAAGCACTAAAGCGGGTGGCTGTCAGAACTGAGATGTGATTTTTCTAAATCCTGACCACTGGCCCACATTGTTCTGTATTACGCTTAAATCAGAAGTATTCAAACCCAACAGTTTTCATGTTTCAAACTCTTTCCAGATGGACAGCAGGATGATGAAGCTAGTAAAATTGAAGCATTGCACAAAAGAAGAAATCTACTTGCAGCTTTCTGTAAACTCATTGTATATACTGTGGTGGAAATGAATACTGCTGCAGATATTTTCAAGCAATATATGAAGGTAAATCTGAATCCTGGTGGTGATACTTTTTAGACATATTAAAGTACAGAAACTGAATTTTTTTAAATTGTTATTTAATTTGTTCCTTGTGAGGTAGTTGGTTAAAAGTATGAAATCTACAAAAACTCCAAAGCAGTTTGTAGGCCTACTAAAGTTGTTCCTCCTTGAGAGGGGAAAAACAGCTGAGTTGGTTTCACAGTTCCTATGTAGGCAGTGGGGAGGGAAGAAGGAAGCCTGATAATTATTTTGTTTCTAGTAAATGTATTTTCTTAACTATGTCTGTTTGATGGTCTGGTTTTACTTCAGCTAGAAGTTTATCAAGCTTTTTATGAATCTCCTCACAGAGATAAACTCTATGTCTGACTTCATTAAATAATTTAAGCTTGAATTTTTTGGAGGAGAAAAGAAAATTATTTGCAAGTTTTCTTCCTTCTCTGTCCTGCTCCCCCCCCCGCCCTCCCCCAGGAAAGAATGTGCTCTTTATATCTGTTTCTGTCTTTGTTAAATATAAAATCCCTTCTTAGCTCCTGAGATTCACAGCTACACAATGAGTTCTCATTTTGTGAACGTGCTAAAGCTTTGCTCCTTAGTGATTACATTAAAAAAAAAAAATTAAAATCTGGGCAGCCTGCTTTTGCCTGAGTGCCCTACATCTGTTTTGTATCACTAAGTAACTAATTGGGTCTTCATTGGACTTCAGATACATCAGAAAATGAACAGGCGTCTGTCTTCATTGGAAAAATTGCTATAAAGTGTTCCATAAGTGCTTACATTAAGCAAAGAAAATAAATTAAAAAAAAAAACCTCCCCATCAGAGTCATAGTAGTTACTAGAAAGATTGGATTCTAATCTTGTACCCTGAATGTGGTGAACATGTGTCATTAACAATTGTGTCGTGGCCTTGAAGATAAATAGGTCATTCTACCTCTAAAGTGGTACCAATGACATTAAACCATAATGTCATGTACAAGCATGAACGTGTTAGTATTTTTTTCTTTTTCAGAGTGTCTGCATTCTTCTTTCAAATGTAATGTTTTCAACTAAAATCAAAAGTTAACCTGTTCTATGTGATTTTTTTTTTCTAGTATTACAATGACTACGGTGATATTATTAAAGAAACAATGAGTAAAACAAGACAGATAGACAAAATCCAGTGTGCTAAAACACTTATTCTTAGCTTGCAGCAGGTAAGAATGATTTACAATATTTTATGCATGAAATTCCACACAGTATATCATGTGATGTTGCTAATAGCTCAGGTGAGGTATTAATGAAAAAACACTTAGGAAAGGTGGGGAGAAATAGACTCAGACTGAAACATGTTTTGTGCAACTATCTGAAAAACTGATGAAAGGTTTCCTAACTGTTGTCCTACTGAAAATCTGTAGAAGAGCCCTGCACACACCTAAGATTGCAACTGTGTGATACTTTGTTATTCTAAAACAAAGGTTTAAGCCACAAATTCAGAAATGTGTTGTGACATTTCTGGTTAACCTATTCGTGAACAGATTAACAAGGCAAAACACTTCCATGTTGTTGTGCTACACTTCCCCACAGTCTTTAAAACCAGTCTTAGTCGTTCAGTATTTCTAATGTGGTAGGGATTTGAAATTAAATCATGTTTTACTGCTCTTTTCAGTAAATGAGCTTTTTTGAGAAATTCAGTCAGGAGTTGGATTCCTCTGCTTCCGTGAGCCATCTCCATGAATCTTATTATTTACAGTACTGATCAGATCAGTAAAGTACATCACTGCAAGCCACTATAATCCAATGTAAATCTTTGCTAATGTTGAAAGGACAGAGCTATCCCAGTTTGTCCTCCTTCCCCACCCCTTTATTTGAGCACTAGAGTTCATGCAGTTGCATTAATCTAGTTGAGAATTATCCCAAAAAAATCCTTAATGAAGCCCCTAAACTGATTCATCCATATGGATATTATTGCCAGGATGAGGATGAGACCTTTCTTTTTTGTAGAGTAGCATGACTTTAGCTGGTGGAAACTGCAACACGAAATACGCAACTGTAGTCTGTGTTGTCCTTGTACAGGTTTTGCTGTACTTCTCACCAGAGTTTGCAACTATTTGTGATAGCAGGAGAATTCTACCTTGTTGTTAATCTTTTCTGCCTCATAAGCAACCTGCCCCATATATTTTAAGGGGAAGACAGAAAGTAGATATAGTAAGTACAATTTCATGCAAAATAGGAAGGCAGTCACATTACCCTAATAGGACAGTAGGAATGGTAACATGAAAGTACCCAAATGTTTAACAATATTTGGTACCTTTCAAATGTAAAAACATACAACCTGCCCACTAACTACAGAAAAGTCACTAAAGCCAAACCACCTTAAACATGTGAGCTAGCATTAAAATAGAAACTGAGCAGAGAAGGAATACTGAAAGTGATAGTGGATAAAGGGAATAACTGAGTTGGAGTGAGCTGCAGCAGCATAAAAGAACTGTGCTGTTGTCGTCCGAAGTCAACTAAGTCTGGTTTTATTTTATTTCCTTCATTATTCTCGTTTATGAAAAATATACAAAAATGAGTTATATAGGAGTAGTAGTTTGACAGATTGTCATAAAAATGTTGTGTTAGAATTTAGCCCATTTTTTTCTTCCCTGTTAGTGTGCAGATCAGGGAATCATAGGTGTCCCGCTTAGGGAAGTGCTGAAATCTGTTGTCTGACATATTTGGCTTGACGCAATCCTTGAAATGCGCATGTTGTCCAAGCTTATCTCAGACAAGAGGAGCCTTATCTTAGCTTTCCTAAGCCTGCACGTTTGTCTTTTGGGTATCAGGCTGTAAAAACATGTTTTACTGAAACTTAACTTTATAAAGTTTGCTACAAAACTTGTCATAATCTTTTTTAAAAATAAACTAAAATCTCCTTTTTCATTTCACACAGCTTTTCAATGAAATGATTCAAGAAAATGGGTATAATTTTGACAGATCATCACCAACATTCAGTGGCATAAAGGAGCTTGCTCGACGTTTTGCTTTAACATTTGGACTGGATCAATTGAAAACAAGAGAAGCTATTGCTATGTTACACAAGTAATTGTGTGCTTTGTATTACTTCCTCATTCGTAAACGCTTCTTGCCTATTATGATTGAAGTATTTTTCTTTAGTCTAATGCTGTTAGTTTAATACAAACTGCATCAGCACTACAGATGTTAATTTTACATGTCACCTATTTCCAACTTAGGTGGTGACTGGATGGTTGCTTTCTTGAAATAGGGAAAAACTGTTCAGTGTTGGTAGCACTCAGAGCTTTTTCTACAGTTTGTGCCTTATGTTTTTTTGTTTTTAATGTTTTCTTAGGGATGGCATAGAATTTGCCTTTAAGGAGCCTAATCCACAAGGTGAGAGCCACCCACCTCTGAATTTGGCATTTCTTGATATTCTGAGTGAGTTTTCCTCCAAACTTCTCAGACAAGACAAAAGAACAGTGTAAGTATTTTCTTGGTATCATTAGTATTTGCAATGAAAACCATAAAAGGTGTGCCTCTGAATATGCATCTGTGTGTTGCAGTAACCTAAAATAGAACCTCAGGAACATGAATACAACTTCACAGTGATGCAGTCAAATATAATCATAAAGGATAAATTGTATTTTACTTTTGTTTTCTCACTTTATGGTGGATGAACAGAAATCATGTTCTGAGTTTCTCATTACAAGGCTTTTTTGTTAAGTAGGTGTGGAGTCTTGGGTGTTGATTTCAGTAGTTACTTATCTTGACAAAATAATGTCATGTTGCAGGTATTTGGCATCTTTCTAATTAATGTTTTCCACTTAAAGGTATGTTTACTTGGAGAAGTTTATGACCTTTCAGATGTCCCTACGAAGAGAAGATGTGTGGCTTCCTCTCATGTCCTACAGAAACTCTTTATTAGCTGGTGGAGATGATGATACTATGTCAGTAATTAGTGGAATTAGCAGTCGAGGATCTACAGTAAGAAATAAGAAAACAAAACCAGCAACAGGGAAACGGAAAGTACCTGAAGGTAGAGCTTTTCTCATTTTAAAATTTAGTACAGCAGTTACTCAGAAACTGTATTTGTTGATCCCTATTTGTTAGCTTCAGTGAATTGGCATACTTAAATGGTTTTTTTGTTTGTTTGTTTTAAAAACAGAATAAGTTTATGTGCATTTCAGTGGAAAATCTGTTCATCTGAGGAGTTTGAATAGCATTAAAATTGAGGCATAAAAAGAAATAGAGGCACTACATTGTATTAAGTTACAGAAAATAAAAGTATTCGAGGGTACTAGCAAGGGCTTTGGGGGTCACGTGAGAATTTGTGAAAAAGTTAAAGAAATTGTTTCTCAGTAAGCAGGAAGTACATTTGTTAGATTTACACATTCTGTTTTAGATAAGTTTAAAAAGGTTTAATACCCAGTGTTTCCTTCTAGCTGAGGAAAGCAGCAGTAGTGACAGTATGTGGATGAACAGGGAGCAGACAATGCACACACCAGTCATGATGCAGACACCTCAGCTTACTTCCACAATAATGAGGGAGCCCAAGAGATTGCGACCTGAAGAGAACTATATGGGTGTCTATCCTATGCAGCCTGAACACCACCAAGCTCCACTGGATTACAAGTATGTAAACACGTAGGTCTGCATTGTGTTAGTGTTCATACACAAAACAGTTTTTGTTTAAAATAGAATAATGGTCTTTTTAAGCACGCAAGTAACGTGGATGTTGGCTCAAAGGCAACAGGAAGAAGCCGCACGACAACAACAGGAGAGGGCAGCGATGAACTACGTCAAGCTGAGAACCAACTTGCAACATGCTATGTGAGTGAGAGTGAAATGTTACTAGTTTGGGAAGAGTGTATTAAACAGCGTTACTCTTAGATATCTTAAGAAGGACACGTTCTAATCTTTCAGTATTATATTTCTGCCTGTGCCATACTTAGATTTGACCTAAAATTGACATAAAAGCTAAGAGTTGTCCTGTAGAGCTAGATGTCCGGTTGTATAGATTGATTGTCATGCAGGTCTTCTGTAGAACTTCCCAACCTTGACAGACATTCCTTCTTGCCTTGTCATAAGGCATGGGAGAAAAGAACTAGTTCATTTCTCTGTTGAGCCTAAGTAGTTTCATGGAAGTCTGAATTAGATGTAGTTTTGATCTGCTTCTTGATTTCTCCTGCCTCTCAGTACCCATTTGGAATAGTCTTGCAAAATTTAATCTTAGAATCTTCTAGCTGGTTGAATACTTTCTTTAATAGTAGTTAGGCTTTTATTGAGTTACTTAATATCTATCTAAAGGATTTGTCGTTTATTGGCAGTTTTTTGCTGAACATCAGCATTTTAAATGTTCACGTAAAGCTTCAGTGCTAAACAACATGCTTTTTCTTTTCAATTCCAGTCGGCGTGGCACAAGTCTAATGGAAGATGACGAAGAGCCAATTGTTGAAGATGTGATGATGTCATCAGAAGGGCGAATTGAAGATCTCAATGAAGGCATGGATTTTGACACCATGGACATAGACCTAGTAAGAAACCTACTTGTTCTTTTAGTTTGGGTTAGATTCAGGTTTCTGCTTTTAAAGCAAGGAGGCTGGAATCAAATTTTCCTTTTGGTGAAACAAAATTATTGATGTTAATCTCTGCATTCTTAAATGGCTGTGCCACTGCCTGCATGCATATTCCATTTTATTTCAAACTGCCACACAGAACAAACACGTAATAACAACATAAGAAAATCCGTGCCTCATAATTTCTTATCCCTTAAGACTTAGCTTCATGTATTGCAATTGAAGCACTCCATATGTATGCTCTGAAGTCACTATTAAGGTGTTTATTTGCTTACTTTCTGTAGCCACCGTCGAAGAACAGGAGAGAAAGAACGGAGCTAAAACCAGATTTCTTTGACCCCGCTTCGATCATGGATGAATCGGTAGGTTAACTTATGTAAGAGGAAAATAATATTAAATCAGTCTTAAGGTTACACCACTCTCTTCAAGTTTTAAATGGGAAGAATGCAATCTTTACACTGTCTTCAGTAGCTCATTTTGGCAGACTGGAACAGCCGATGAAATACGTTTTGCTGTAATTCAGCTTTATAACTTCTAAGGTATTTACACGTTTATAGGATTTTGTTCTTAATACTTTACATGTAGCTATGTCAAATTCAGACATCTTTATATCTGAGGGAAAATTGCAGAAGTTAGTAGAGCTTAAAATAAAACAGAAACAACAAAAACCTGCATACACAGTATTAAAGCAACTTCCCTGTTACGATGAACTTAGTTGAGTGACTCTGATGGCATTACCAATTGTCAGTGTTGGATTGTTTGGGATTTTTTAAATTGCCATATTAATTTTTACTCATAAGTAAGATAATGAAGAAAATAAATAATAGAGACAATACAGATCTATGTTTATGGAGATGAGAGGTATTTTTTCTTTCCATATGAAGTTTTAGGTCCAAAACATCCGAAGTCTGTAGTTTCTGCTTGCAGTTGCCCTTTTTTCCGACTTGATAAATCTGCAGTCTCTATTCTCTTTTAAAAAACTGCATGAGGGATTCCTTCTGTCTTGAACCACTTGTAATGTATGCAGCCATTTTTGACCTTGTGTAGCTGGTACAAAATTACACTGGAAATAACAAGCTGCAGCAACCCAGCAGAGGACAGTACAGCAAGGCTTCCTGGGAATCTTGGACAGCTTGGTGGAATTTGGAAGACGGTTACATATTTTTACAATATTGTTGCAGCGTGAATCTGTTCTTGTTACGAGAGAAAAGAAGTCTTAAATACTGTTTTAAATGCAAATCCATATATTTTGTGCTAGTGCTAATGAATCAGATTAGGTTGTGCATCTAGCTGTTGTGTGTTCTGTTCTTGAAGTAACAGCCAGAAAGTTAAACAGTTTTCTGACTTTTTGTTTTAGAATAGCTCTTCCCTTCCTCTTCTTAATTTTAGTTCATTGATCTGTGAAATACCAGTCATTTTTATTCTGAACACTGAAAATTTGGTCTTCTGCAGGTGTATCTCACTCAATTTCAGTAACCTTTCAGTTTTCTGTTTCAAAAATTAAGAGTAGGTTTAATCTGTTTACTCTAGCTAGTTTTCTTCCCTGTTACTTTATTTCTCATTCGTTTTACCATCATCCCATGAAAGCCCAAGATTTGCTAGGCACTCCTGAGCTGCAATTTGGCAGCATCGCCACATGATGGCAGCCGGCTACAGCCTCATTGCTCTGCAAGCTTTATAGTCGGTTCTGAGGCTGTAGCAGTGTCCTGCTTATCTGTGCCAGAAGAGGCTGTAGTCTTTTTCCCTGCAAGGAAGGAGAAGTGGCACATTGAAATAAGTCGGTACAGTCAGGGCGACATGATCTAGTAATGCTCCCTCCCAGTTGGAACATAGCAAGAGTGGTTGACCTGGAAGCAGGACTGCATTAAACAGCTGCATCGCAGAGGAGAGCTGCTCTTTAGCATAAGCTCCACCTAAATGAATTTAACTGCCTAGATGGGGAAGCCCTATTAATGCTAAGAATAATTTGTCTTAACGTAGAGCTGTGATTGATCACTGGCTATTTTAAATGTTTGACATAGTGAGGATACATGCTTTCATTGGCACAGAAAATAACATGGCTTGCTTCCACATGGGAAAGCTTTCCATTTAATCATGTAGCGTTCTGAAGGACAGTACTTTTAATTCTAGCTACTTATGGGTGTTTTGTTTTGTTTTGCTTTTTCACTCTTATCCTGGCAGAAATAATGTTTTTAATACAAAATGTGAGGCTGGTGTCCCAGCTTGGTGCTGCAGGCTGACCTGTGGTTAGGAACGTGGGCATGGCAGCAGCCAGCACGTGGAGTATTTTGTCTCAGGCTTAGTTGCCAAGAACTGCACACCTGATTTCAGGTTAAGACCTATAGAATTGCTGTTGTCAAACAAGTCTAGATTAGGCAACTAATTAAAAATGACTTTGTGATTATTATCTAAAGTAATTAAAGCACAGTTTTTATCTCATTCCTTCCGAATCTAGTTTGTTTCAAGTGTGGGGAAAAAAATTTCTATTGAATGAGGAGCCCATTCCATATTATGACATGAATCAGAAGTGTGGTAAATTCGGTTTGGAGGAAAAATAAACTTACAATGCCTTAACGTATCTTGAAGTGTCTTAATCTTAAGTCATATATTAATTGCTTTGCTTTTGTTAAATGTGTAGTAGACTACAAATTGACACCATTTCTAACTTTTTTTTTAGGTTCTTGGGGTGTCAATGTTTTAATACCAGAGCAGCAAATAAATCAGTGGTGAAGTCATTTTCTAAGTGGAAGAGGAAGTTTTTCAATACAAAATTGTGGTAGATACAGTGAAATTCTGAACAGATTTTTCTCTAAGGAGAATGACATGCTTTCAAGATCAAGTGCATTGAAGGGGCAGTTTTGTTTGCCTGAAAAAAAAAATAAAAAAAGAAAAAAAAAAGAAATGTAAAGGACAAGTAAACAATTTGAGGATAAGCTACACTTTTTGTTGGAAAAATCAATATTTTATTTATGTGCTATCAGTTTATTTCCGGATCACAAGAAGTATTCCCTCTTAGTTTTAACCTAACAGTCTGAGAGGTGTTTGGTACAGATTTGAGCTCCTCTCTTCATACATTTGCTGGCTCTACTAAATAACCACGAGCTCTGCTGGATTGCTGTTCACATCCACAAAGTGAAATAATAGTCAGATTGATTTTTCTTACGGTGGTAGAACCAGAAGAGTGTCAGTATTTTAAATTAAACGCAAACTTCAGCAACAGAATGTTTGTCTGGATTATGAAAGCATTATGTGGAGCAGAATTATAACCGCTTTTTGATCTAAAACACTTTTATTCCAAAAGCTTCATGCTAGCCTTCTCAGAAAGGTCCAGAAACTACGAGTGACCAGAACGTAACAGGTCTCAGTCATGCTTGCCCATTTCCAACCCTGAAAGTTTGCTTGTCCTTTAAGAAAAATGTAATGTTGTGAAATTCCTTCCAGTAGTGCCACTGTATTTTGTCTCCAAATAAAAGAAGCTTATTGTAGTATGTTTGCAGAAAAATTCTAAACAAAAATTATACAGCTTATTAGAGTGTGGGAATAGGGATCTAAATTTTAAATAAAATTATATATATATATAAATTGGTGCTGATTTTATAATTGCGCAGTTTGTTTAGTTTTTTCTTACTTTTAAATTCCAACTTAAAATTATGAGGTTTCAGAAATATATTGAAAGTTTAACAATGTTTAAAAATAGAAGAGCATGAGAACTCATGCTTTAAAAATGATTTTTAAATTTGTATTTTATATTGTTTTATCTATCTGTCTTTGCAAGCAGTCTTCAGGTTAAAGATACTTCTAACAGGTTACAGTACATTTCCTCTGTATGTAAATTAGATTGGATAATAGAAATTCATAAACAACCCATAATCTTCTTTGAAAGCTAAGCTTTAAACTTCATTTTGTGTCCATTCACAAATAAATTAAATTTGGTCTAAAACAGAGAGTGGATTTATGCCATTTTGACATCGACTCATTTTGCAAGGCTTAGGCAGCTAGACATCATTTTAAAGGAAATATTAACTTATATTACATATGTATATTTTTTGTCAGTTGTCTCTCAGTTCTCAAGGTATATTATTTTAATCATTCCATGCCTTAATACGCTTGCAATACAAGGATCTCCCCAAATGGGCGAACACAAAAAGGCTTCCTGTTTTTAGACTTGGAAATTAAACCTTGGGCTGTGGTAGCCAAAAACCATAGGTTATCTAAAGGATCATGATAAAATATAATTATTTTACTAAATCACGGGATAACGACAAACTCAAAACTAGATCTGCCTAACTCATTTTGCATAAATAAATACTCATGTCTAAAAGTACTGCCTATATTGTTTTTCACACCACTGCATTTAATAGAACTGCTGAGAGGACTGTATATATGATTTTAAACTTAAGTTGATTTTTCTTACTCTTGAAGGAGTGTTTCTTTGTGAAAGCAGTTCTTACAGCTTTGTTTTCAACCAGCTAAAAATGTTTTATATATTTACCTTAACCTGTTGTCCTCCACATTCTATTGTCCTAATTGTACTGTTTTCTGATTTGTATTTATGTCTTGAGACAGTAACTTTTTGAATAAAAATAAACCTGCAGTATGTTGTATGTTTGATCTTTTTAAATCGGGGATAGGGGAGGATGGTGAGGAAAGGGGAACGAGTAATGCAAATGTTATGTTTATAGAAATCAGAATCTTTTTCCATGTCTTTTAAGTGTTTGTCTCAGAGTTGGGATAATGTATGGAAAACTGCACTGTTTTATATTTGTAATAAATTGTACAAGTTTTTAAAATGTGAATAAAGCACTAATTGGGTTAATAATTTAAAGTAGAAAAGTTATGCAATCATGATTGTTTGAAATATGCTTTGAGTTCAACTTGTTAAAAGAATTAGCGGTGTAAATACAGAGCGAGCTTTTCCAGAGGTTAGTACCTGCAAATAAAATTTTTAACATTTGTATAGAACTTTTACATGCCAACAAATTGATGGTTAATTATTTTTGTGTTACATTTTTTAAAGACGTACCGATAGCCGTTGTGCTGCTTTCTTTTTCCTCCGACCTTTGACCTGACGTTGCTCAGAATGCTTTTGGTTCTGATACTGTCCATAGCCAACTGGGGCCGTTGGGTAACATCAGCTGAAATGTGGCTGACTGTATATAACTGCTTTCCAGTCCTTCTGTGTATCATGCACCTGATAAACGCTGTCAGCTTAACTGGCAAGACAACACGAGGGGAGAAAGCTCCTTTCTGGTAGAGGCCCTTAGGGGATTCCTTGTAAAATCTTACTGCTAGTCCTTCTCGTCCCTGCTAGTGTAACAGGATGGGCTTTCCTGCTTCCTCGCTACAAGTGTTCATTCCTGGCTAAATCTTGCTGTAAGTTCAATACTAATATCTCGTGGAAAATGGTTTTAGTAGGTCTGAGTTGATAACGCAAGGACAATACCTTCACTGTTCGATGTACAATCTGAGCTTTTGGGTACAGATGCCTGTAAATGAAAGAAACCTGACTTTGAAAATGTGATGAAAATGCAGAGAATAACAAACGCTTCAAAGAAAGTGAAGGCTGTCCTCTGGTTTACTGAAGAGGCCACAGAGAAGGTATTGACACTGAATGAAACTGAAGGGAAATAGTCATCAGATACTCTGTAAAAAAGTATTTCCTGATATTAAACAACCAAAGAGAATATGTAAGAAGCTCATGATTGCCGTTGTTTTGTTTTTTTTCCCCTTTGGATGGTGCGTTCCTGATTCAAATAGCTTGAATAGGGTCAGTAAATCCACCTCTTCTCTAATCTTGGTTTAACTAGGCAATTGCCACATCAAATTAATACTCTTCACTGTTTTCCAGATAGTTTACACGTGCATTTGTCATAGCACACAGCTTCACAGTCCCAGTACTGCTAGCTTCCTACTTATAAAACACTTAATGCTTATTTAGAGATTGACTGCTTTTCAATCTGAAGCTACTTGACTTCGTTTTTCAGTGGCCTGATTAATGTCACGGCCTACTTTGTTCATTGAAGCATTTATGGAAACTGACAGTTTTTGCTTCAGAATTCTGACAAAGTGCAAATTGGTTCCTTAAAAATACTGCTTAAATGTTTTGACTGCTTTAGTTTAATTTTAGCTCAGTTTTGCATGGCACCTGATGGAGCTGTGGGTGTCCCTGCTCGTTACAGAAGGGTTGGACCAGGTGGCCTTTAAAAGTCCCTTCCAACTCTAAGGATTCTATGGTTCTGTGACTCTGTTATAATGAATTTATGATGCTGAATGAACTTATGCCATTCCCTATTGTTCATAATTGTAAGTGCACTCTATTAGTGAGATTTCTGATATTGGCATCCAAAAGGAGTCGTTTCTTTAGAGGAGGGAGGTCGTACATGGTTGAAAAATACAGTAATGCAGGCAATGTTAGTAGTTCCATATGAAAAAAGACAGTTCATATCCACCATGCCTGTCGTTTGCCTCCCCTGTCTTTCATGCTGCTGAGCTTTCCTGAATTTCTTAGAGCAAATCTTAATTTTTACATATATATAAATAAACGTGAGTTTTCACAACTGATCTTGTCATAAATTTTAGAAGGTGAGATTTGGCTGCTTTACTGCTGTGGTTTTTGTACTTATTGCCGGGTTTTACAGGTGGAAATCGTGGTAGCGTTACAGAGTTGAGCTCTGTGCCCCTCATGTTATCCAAAGCAAATTAAACTGGTGTTTTGGTATCTGCCAGAACCCCACATTAAAACTATATTGTGTTCAGCTCGTAACAGCCTGAATTCTGCCCTTCTCAAAAAGGTTTGTTAAGCTGTGTATCAAAATATTAAATCCTCTAAGGGTTCCCTCAAATAAGGAGGTGTGAAGTCAGAAATCGCTTTTCGTTAAAGCGTTCAGGTTATAAGTGGAGGTTTGGAGGTTGACTCAGGGTGCTGGGGCTCCATCGCAGCCTTCTGACTTCGCACTGCCAGCCTGAGTGCTGCTGGAGCTCCACGTGGCCGCTCCACCCAGTGCTGAGCCCTATGGCTGTTCAGGAAGCCATGCAGTTTGCCTCTGCTTTTTAAATAGCAGTTAAACCACAGTTCTTGAGTGACTTACGTGCAGATCTCTTCTTATTTCAGCACACTCTTCACAGGTTTATATTCTGTTTTCTTCATTTTAAACTGTTGAACTCCACCAACAGCAAAAATGCAAACCACATCCACTTGTTTTTGTTAGCGTGCACAGAAGCACTTTGAGACGTGGTGTGTCATGTATCTTGTCTGTTCCTTGTGCTTGTCAGCTTACAATACCGAGCTGTCTTTTACGTACCTGGTCTGGACTATCACTGTTACTTCTGGTGCTGGAATATGGTCTGCATCTTGAAAAGCAGATTCTCTTTGCTTTCTTCTTTTCACGAGCTCTCCCATTGCAGCCAGGGATGGCAGTGCATCATGAACCTGGGTTGGGTTAAGGAAGGTGGCTTTATTGGTGGAACTCTCTTGTTTTCTTTGTTGGTACTGAGAGGGTTACAGTTTAAGGACAAAGCACGTAAATGCTGGTAGCTGCAGAATCCTGTGTGTTTGGACTATCAGGAGCTTGTTTGGGAACATTTCATTTTTCTTGCTCATTTCAGTATCTTGTACTTGGTGAAAGCAGCTTGTTTGAAGTGCCATGAAGCTAAAAGGAACAGATGCTCTACTTAAAGTTGCTTTCATTACAAATTCTTTTTTTTTTTTTTTTTTTAACCTTGCAACACTTCATCTTCCACTTCAGAATGACTTGTAACTTGCAGTTCCCAGGCTCACCTGGGCTGGATGTGTGTGGATCCGACAAGAAGCAGCTCTGTGTACAGCAGTAAGAGCACTAAGAAGGGGATTTCAGCTATTTGCATTACCTTCCTTTCTCTAGAATTTGTTTTGCATTTACCAAAGAGAACATCTTGCTTATGTTTACTGTGTTGTGCTGCTGTTTTCTCCCAGGTTG